GGCCACACAGTCGCGGGGTCAGGCGGGCGGAGCCGCGGGCAGGGCACGGCCGGGCCGGCACTGCGCCCGCGCTGCGGCCCCGGCGTGCCTGCCCCGCTGCAATTGCCGAGGCGAAGTGCAAAACTCAATTAAAGCCGAATTCCCGCACCCAGACGCGCCGTATTAGGCTCTGGGAGTCGCTCCGAGGAGCGATAGGCTCGCGGAGCAGGGGCTGGGATGGGCTGGGCTAACGCAGCCGTCCAACGGCGGCGGAGCGCCGCAAAGCCCCGCGTCCCATTGGCCTCAGCGCGGCTTACATCGGCTTGTTTCTGCTGCGGGGAAAAACTGCCTCGTTTGACACATTCTCTTTTCCTGCTGTCTTTTAGATTATGTCGTAACCACAGAACTAGCAAGCAGTGATGGAATCACTGGACACCGAGGTGAGGGCACGGAAGACCCTGGGGACCGTGGAGTACGTGGAGTCTTCGGGCTTCGCGCAGGGGGTGCTGCCCACCAAGAAGGATGTGGTGCAGAACATGCTGTACCTGCTGCAGCCCAAGAGGGCCGGCCAGGCCCAGCGCTCCAAGGAGGACGCGGCCCAGCTGCTCGCAGAGCACCTGCAGGAACACTGGCTGGTCTGCAACCTGCACACCATTGCCACGCAGAACATAAAGAAACTCATCCTCAAAATGTATGAGGAGTTCACCCGATTGTACCAGACCAGGAAGCAGAGACAGAACCAGGCTTTTTCCGAGCGAGCCGACAGATTCAACGAGAGTTCAGAGAAGCTCTTTGACGTGTTTTGTACAGACACACAGATGAGGGATAAACTGGAGGAGTACAGTGGGATAAAAATGACCAGCATCGAGTGGAAGTTTCTGGAAGATCAGAGGAATGAGAGAAAAATGTACTACGAAGATTTCACAGAGAAGCAGGAGTTGAAGACGATGGAGAGAAGGCAGAAGATACAGTGTCTGGAGCACTTCAGGAAGCTCGCCAGGGAAGAGAAGGAGAGCAGCAAGGCAAAGGAGATGAAGTACAAGGGCGAGGAGCAGTCGGATGAGGGCACAAGCGTGGACGAGCTGTACCCTGTGGAGGAGGAGAACGGTGGCGCCCCGGCCTTCTCGCTGCGGGGCCGGCGGAAGCGCCGCTGCACCGCGGCCGCCGGCGGCACTGACCTGCCCCTGGAGGGCGAGCACATACGGATGAGCATCCGCAGGGTCAGGCCTGGCTTCTACGAGACTGTGGAAAAGGTGAAAAACTGCTAGCGCCCGCCGCAGAGAGCGGGCAGAGCTGCTGGAGTACGAGGTGGCAATGCACACGTTAGGCAAGTTTGAAATCCCACCATCCATTGGAAGTGATTGTTGTAGATCCTCAAGCCAGAGCTCAGGAACATGCCGCCTCCAGGGAAGAGGGCTGGGATGATGACAATGACAGCAAGGACTAAACCATGTGGATTTGGAAGGATGAGCTGTCAGCAGCCAGCGATGCCAAGGCTCAAATGCAGAGGATGATCCAAGGTTACGTAGCACATAAGCCTCTTCTTCCAAGGTCCTGTCTGCATCCATGGGGTTTGGAAGTCTCTCAACGTTTCTGAGCCAGCGGCGGCCTGACAGCGTGAATCAGGACACGGATTTCTGCAGGGTGATAACTTGGACTTGTTGCTAACAGAAGATCCCTGTGCTGAAGAGCCCTGGCTGCAGTGGGGGTGAAAGATGCGTGGCCTCTTCCTGCGGGAGCTGGCGTTTCTGCCAGGAAGGAAGTGGGTTTGCAGCGTGTGTCACCAGCCCCGGAGAGGCATGCTGTGCTTTTGGAAAGGGACTGCTCTCATGCTTGAGGAGCAGGCAGAGAGCAGAAGACAGTGGAGTGCTTTGGCTGTTAAAGCATTGGTGATTCTGAATGTTTTATTCTAGATTCTATTTTACCAACGTTTCCTTGATCAGGATAAACCTTCCCATAACTGGATGAGTTTTATCATGAAGTCCCTAATCTAGGATCTGGGGTGTGAATCCTAAATGAAGTGGTAATGTTTTATCTTTGGGGGGAGGGGGTTAACATAGGAGAAAATGCAAATTGCATTATTTAGTTTTAAGATGAGAGTAATTTTATAAACTGTTATACTGCCTTTTTAGGACATAGGGAAGAATAAGCCTTCCCAGGTGTAGCTGTGGTGTTCACAGCAGCAGGCACCCAGATCTGGGCTTGCTCTTCCACCCCGAGGTGGTGCATGTAGACCAGCAGGGGGGAGATGGTAGTTTTCCACCCGGAGGTTGTTTGAACAAAGCGTGACCCTCTTGCCCACGTACATCCTGAGCAGTGACGTATCTGTGACTTTTTTAGTTAAGAGTTGCTTTACTGGTTTTTAAAGGTGAGAGACTTGAACTTCCAGTGAAACCCAGTGCTGGAGATCTCTCTGGTGAGATGCCCAAACCTTGCCAGACGACACTGAAAATGGAAAACCCCCAAGTCTCTATTTGTCCACAAAAGATCTGTGGTAGAAAGAGCGCAAACTTGCCTGGTTTTAAAATTTACCTTCCAGTGTGAATGTTGGTTTCCCACTCCAGTATCTCAGCTTTTCCCCGTTTCTTTCCTTTCCGTCCTGCACATCATTTACTGACGTTAACTCGTGCTCTTTCATTCTTTGGCTTTTGCTCCCTTTAACAATAAATGCATGTATGAATAATTTTGACAGTTTATTTACTTTTGATGAATCAGTCCTCGGACTGCTTTGAAGTCCTGTGCCAAAGGAGGAATGAAACACAGAGCAGCTGCTGGTCCCCTGGGACACGGCGGCCCCGGCTGGGCTGCCCGGGCAGGCTCCAGCCTCGGCCACCTGGCACAGATCTGTGAGCTGCGTGTCCCTTCTCAGGGACCGTGCCCCTTACTGCCGGGGTCCTTGCTCTGTGTCTCTGACAAGCTCTTCATGGTAAGTCGCTCCAAAGTATTTAGTGCCCGCCGCGTGCTCTGCACCACTCGTAGTTTTACAGGTTTGGTAGCAGCACCCTTGAGCCTCTGCTGCCTGAGGCTTCGCAGCCTCCCTCCATCTCCTCTCTCTGACATGCTTCACTGACCTCCCCATGCAAATTATGTCACGTTTAAACTATTTGCCTTCCAGCCCGGAGGTGCTGGATTGAGCCTCTCACTGGGTCTCTACACCAGCAGCTCTGTTTCAGCAGGGAATATAGCCAAGCTCGGACCTCGCCAAAGTAGAAGTTTTTTAATAACTGCTGTAAGTCCCCTTTTTATTACAGATATAGCTGACAGTATAAATGCTTGTGTGTAAAGCAAATCCATTTGGGTTGGCTCGGATATGGAACACAGCTGTATAGTGCTTTATGATTTTCAGGGATTCAGGGAATTTAAGGTTGTCAAATTTGACTTCCTGTCTACCACAGGGAATTACATTTCATTCAGAAGCCCCACACTCAGCCTGCTGGAATCAGTTGAACTGATGTGTCTGACAGAAAGTCAAGCCGCAGGTGTCAGCATTCTGCTGTCTTCCTTGTTACCTATTTAGTGATTAATCACCTTCATTCTTTCAAAATAAGACAAGAAAGAAATCTGACCAACTTCTAGGCTGTGATTCTTTTCACAACATCCTGTACAGGCTGATGAGCAGAGTTTATCACATTAAAATCATATTTGGGTTTTTTTTAACTGGGTTTGACTGTGGATAGAGCCAAAGCCTGGCTCTGTTTCTGCTGCAACAGGGGGAAAATTTCTAAATCATGTATTCTGGTATTCTGATTACTCTTTGGGACCATGGTGCCTTTTTAATCAGGACAGTAAATCTTGTCCCAGGATTCTGTACTTTTGTACGTTAACAGTTGTTGACTTTCCTTTTTGGTGTGTCCCAAATAAATTAATATAACATACCTCTGGGCTTTTGTTTCTTCTTTCTAAAGGGGGAGGAAAGAGGAAACTGAAGCTAAAGTAAATCTCTGCTTCAGCTCTCCTTCCCAGGCCCTTGCAGGAGCAGCTGGGATGCATGCAGGCAGAACTGCTGCTGTCCAGACCGTGTGGGGTGGTGATAGGGAAGCTGCAAGAAATGGGAATCTGGCACAGAGACCAACATGGAGCCCTTTTTTTCAAAGATGTTGGAACTTGGAGCAGCTGAAGGTAAGGGGAGAGGAGTAGAATCTCTGCACATGGTGGCAATGTTTCATGAGGACTCTGTGTGCCTCAGGCGTGGTAGGATTGGAATTGGAGACAAAGGTGAGGCCTGCCTGCCTTCCTTGTGTGTGTGATCCCATGCATGAGTGTTCCACTGCTGCCTGTTCTATCCTGACTGTGGTTCAGGGATGTTGTTTGAGATGAGGGCAATCAATTGTGTCCAAGAGAGACAGCAATGGTTTGCACCACAGGACTTCAGCAAGGAAGGGAAATTGGAAAGGAGGAAATGCTGGAAGGGGCATGTTTGCATCAACGGCTTTTGCAGGAGGGAACTGAGGTGCATCCCGGGGGCTAGAAATACTTGTGCTGGATGCTGAGTCACTGATTCTACTGGGTATTTGGGGAGGAACATTGTAGACCTTCACCCCTTGAGTCCTTCTGGTTTCTACAGGGGGAGCAATAGGAAGGAGAGGGCATCCTGAAAGCCCTGCACCCCAGCCTGGGGTCCTGACAGCCAGGTAGGGCACATGCCAGCCCCAGGCAAAAGCTGCCTTTTTGCAGCTTTTACAAGTTCCTTAGAGCTGCCCAGGCCAGCCAGAGTGAGGTACAGAAACACCAGCCTGATTTCCCAGCATGGATGTGCCTCTCATGGCCACTGCTCTGCCTCCAGCCCCTCTCAGAAAGGGGAAGGAACACAAAGAAAACAACCCAAAATGCAAATCATGGCACTACTGAGTGGGCTGGATGTGGAAAACAACGTCTGTGACTCAGCACAGAAAGAGTCACAAAGCTGGAATTTAAAACAAGTCCAAGCTGAACTCTGTGGGCATATGGCTCATGGAGTGCTGGGCAGTGCCTCCCCACAAGGGAGCTGGGTGGGCAGGGGGAAGTGCCAGAGCCTCGTCCTAGACCAGCTGTGCCAGACAGCTTAACACAGGGTGACAGTGATAAATTGTGGCACTGCAGGTGGGATACTGGGGAAAAGTGTTCCTGGGAAGAATGGAGCAGACCTGTGAGGCTGTGTCACAACCGTGCTGGTGCTCAGCACCAGTGGCCAGGCTTGGGCAGAGCTCCAGGAAGGGAGATGAACCTCCTCTGTTACCTGACATCCACATTTTTTCCCCTGGGGGGGATGCATGGCACAGGTGGTGGTGAAGCCATCCCCACTGTGGCAGAGCTGGGCACAGAAATCCTGGTGTGGGGCACAGGAACCCGGCATGACACCTGCCCTACCCCCATCCTATGGCTCTCACTGCCTCCACAGGAAAAATCCCCCTGGATGCTGAAAGGAGCTGCAGGGCGAGCCTTTCCAAGTGCAACCACACTAATTTATTAACCAGACACGTGCAAGGGTATTTCCTGCTCTCACTAAGGGTGTTGTCTTGTTATTCTTCCTGAGTTTCTTGACAGCAGATGCTTCCTCCTGGCACAGCTTTGGAGCCAGCAGATACTGCTCCATTCTTTTACGGCATAGCAATGAAAGTTCCTCCCTGTATCCCTTTGTGCTACCCAGCAGCGTCCCCTCTTGCATGGCACTCTGGTGCTGCTCAGGTCAGTGTTTGCTCCGGGGCCTGGGGACAGCTGTGCACAGCCACAGCACCCCTGGCAGAGCCTGCTGAGCAGCCCAGACACACCTCCAGAGGGAGGCTGGCTAGAAATTGATCCTGGGGAAATCCAAATGTCTGGGAGTTAGGGTAGGAGCTGTTGAGCTTTCTCTTTCACAGCTACCCGGTACAGCGCAGCCAGGCCCCCAGACTTTTCTATGCCTGATGCTTTCAAGGAGCCAGCTTCTCCCTGGCTCCAAGCTTTTTGCAGCTCCATATGCTCAGTTTTGGGGAGTGGGTATTCACAGAGCTTTGGGCTGCACCTGCCCAGGTATTCCCTGGGCGCACTCGTGGCACTGCCATGGCTCTGGCAAGAGGTTTGCTCGTTCAGCATCCTCAGTTGTACTCCAAAACACCTTTCGTGGAGTTTCTTTGTGTGCTTCCTACTGTCCCACAGAAGCGGCCTGCAGGAGACCAGTTTGCTGAACTGGCCCAGTCTCCAGAAGCATTTTATATCCTTTTGCAGACCAACATCCCCAAAATCATTCACATCTTGGCTCCTCTGTGTCTGGAATGCATTCATTATGTGAGTACCCAGACAGTTCCTCCTGCAGTACCTTGTGTTTCTATTTTGAGACATACCACATTGTCCATGAGAGATGCTGGGAAGGGAAGTGGGCAGTGTGGGGGGAGGACACATTCAAAGGCACCCTGACTCTCTTGCTGCCATCACACCCCCAGCTGTTGGGCCCTTACTTCCCACATGCTCCTGCAGACGAGTTTCTGGATGAGAGAAGCAAGTCCTGCGGAAAGTCCAGAAATTTTGGGAGATGTGTGGGTGACCGCAGACATGAGAGAGGTGGGGTTCCCTCGCCAGGACCTCACTGACCCCCTCTCCCTGGTCCCCCCGGGTTGGGTGTCCTTCCCCGGCGGCACAGCCGACCCCACGCTGGCTGCTGCCCGGAGCTGGGGAGGTGCCTGACCTCAAGCCCAGGGCGCGGGGACGGGCCCAGCGGCGCCGCCCGCGCGGGAGGGACGGGTTCGGGTTACGGCCTCGTACAGAGATGAGTGGGGCTGCGGGAGTCCAATGAGGTGCCGCGGCCGGGGTGTATTAAAGGGGAGAGCGCGGGCGGCTGCGGGCTCCGGCAGCGTTCCCGGCCATGGCGGGCCCGAGCAGCGACGGGGACCTGCGGCGCCTGCTGAAACTGCACCGCACCGAGATCGCCATGGCAGTGGACGACGTCTTCCCACTGCTGCACGGCCTGGCTGACCACGACGTCGTCCCTGACCACATCTTCAAGGTGAGGCTGCGGAGCAGGACAGGACGGTCGTGCCGTGGGGGCTGGGGCCGGAGGGCAGCCCACGGGCCGTGCTGTGCCCGGCAGGAGACGCTGAGCCGGGCGGAGCGGGAGGGCTCCCACCGCGCTTTCCACGCGCTGCTCACCTGGCTGCTGGGCCGCGACACAGCCGCCGTCCGAGACTTCTGGGCCGTCCTCTTCAAGGACTACAACCTGGAGCGGTACTCCCGGCTCCGGCCTCTCCGCGGCGCCTTCCCCAGAGGTAGTAGGGGGTCAGGTGGGACTGGCACCCCCGGGGGCTGACAGTGGCCAGGGGTGACAGCCAGGGTGCTGGCCTCTCCCTATTATTCTTGCAGAGGTGGAGCTGGGGCGGCAGCGCCGTGGAAGGCGTCTCTCCCCAAGCCCCACAGCACCAGCCCCACACAGACCCCAAGGCAAGAGGAAAGCCCCTGAGGAGCGGGACAAAGCCCGGGCGGCACAGCCCGCTCCACGGCACAGTGCCAGTCCTGGTATGGAGACCCCGAGCAGGATGGAGATGAGGCAGGGTGCTGTCCCTGAGGTATTGTGGCGTGCCCCCTGACGCCCATCCTCACAATGCTGCAGGGCCCCTGGTGAAGGCAAAGACTGTGAAGAAGCCGGAGGGCACAGATACCCCCCGCGCCTCTCGTGCCAGCGGTGAGTGCCGAAACCCCCAGGGCAGCTTTTGCCTGTGTGCCCTGTTTGCCCACAGCTGTGGGCAGGGGCCTGCCCACCCCACTGAACCACTCCCCTGCCCGCAGCTCTCCAGGCAGTGGCTGCCTCGGTGCAGAGAGCGGTGGCTGTGGCAGGCGGTGAGGTGCCCGTCAGCCGTGGGGCCATCGAGGGCATCCTCATTAAACATGTGCTGGACCCAGGTAAGTACAGCCCAGCCCAGCCACTTCCTGCCCAGTTTAGTCCCCAAATTCAGGAGCCATTCTCAGACAGGGAGAGGTGGGGAAGGGGAGCTGGAGCTGCCTCTGGCCTCTCTTGCAGGCAGCTCCAAGACAGGCAGCAGAGCTGGTGACAAGCCATATACCCCAACTGCCTGCGAGGAGCCAGAGGCCAGGAGCAAAAGCCACAGCCTGAAGCCCCCTGCGCAGCCCAAGGCATGACGAAGTGTACAAACACCTCCCTCATATGTTTTCACCCCCATCTTGTGCAGCTGCCAAGGCTGTGGCAGGGGGTTGTTCCTGCATGGCATCATAGCCATAGCCTGGGGGTGTCCAGCAGTGCCTCTCCAAACCCCTTTTTGTCTCACCAACAGAACAGGGAATCCCAATTGCACTCCCAGGGCCAGCTGCAAGCAGCCACTGTCTACAGCCAGGACCCTCTGCCCCACCAGGTGAGCCATGGATGTGACACCTAGCGCAGCCCTAGGAGGAATTGTTTGGGTTCCCTTGGCATGTCCATTTGTTCTGGCCTTGACAAGGAAACACAGGTTCAGCTACTGGGGTTTCACCACATTACGACCCCCAAGAAACAGGCAATTTTACCACCCTGAAAGGATTGGCATGTTTGGTGCAGAGTGGGTGATGCAGGGAGAGAGTGCAAGGGAGGTGAAACACCTTGCCACAGCCATGGCTTTAGCCTATGAGGGTGGCAGTGACCCTCAGCCCACTCTCCCGGGAACAGGAGAACGAGGATGAGTGTGCAGCATGCGGTGATGGTGGTGAGCTCATCTGCTGTGACGGCTGCCCCAGGGCCTTTCACCTTGCCTGCCTGGTGCCCCCGCTGCCTCACGTCCCCAGGTGAGTCCCAGGGCACACAGGGATGCCAGTGCCCCCTGCCGTCCCTCACTGCTCTGCTCCCACTGTGCAGTGGCACTTGGCGATGTGGCTCCTGTGTGGAGAACGTGACTGAACCAGGCCAGCTGCTGGAGGCAGATTTGCCTGTGGAGAGACCCCCTGAGATCCTGGGGGAGGCGGCGCGGGACACCCAGCCGGGTGGAGTGGAGGGGAGCGTCTGCAGCCGCTGCTGCACCCGGATCCCCACTCCCCACCACTGCCCTGCTCCCAGTGGGGACCCCAGGTGAGTTCCCCATCACGCCCCACATCTCAGCCTTAGTTCCTCCCTGGACGGTTCTGCCCTGACGGACTGTGTCACCCCTGATGGTATAGGGGGCTACTGCTATGCATGTCCTGCACGGGCACCCTGGACACAGGCGGTCTGGGCACCACCGCAGCAGCTGGAGACCAACTGCTTCCAGCAGCCAAGGTCAGCACAAGCAGTGCCAGGAGCAGGGTGGGAGGGGAAGAGCCTAAGGGGAGCAGGAAGGTGGAGGTGGGTCAGGCAGGGTGAGGGACGGGCTGACACCACATGGAGGCAAATTAGTGAAGCTGTACTGGGGAAGCACGACCTGGGCCCACACCAGGTAAAGGACTGAACATGGTTAGCAACCCACAGCAAAAGGTGAACAGGCTGAGGGCAGCAAGGGAGCTGGCAGGACATCTCTCCATGCACAGGCGGAGGATGCAGCCCTAGGCAGTGACCCTGTGCTGAGCCGGGAGGAGCTTGATGCGCTGCTAGGTGAGGTAAGACTGCGTGTGACACCAACAGGCCAATTCCATGCAAAGGGGACCATATCGCTGCTGTGGGCACAGGGTGACATGGGGCTGTGGATCAGGCAGCATGTGCCTGGAAGAGGGAAAGGAGGTGAGATGGGAATAGAAAATTAACACGTCGGGCTGTCCCACAGAGCACATGGGATGGGATCTTGCACTGGGCGTTCCAGACCATGGCACGGCCGCTCGCAGAAACACAGGGGCACCTCGCCTAGCGCACAGACCAAGCACCAAACTCCGCGTGGCAAGCCATGAAAAAGCAGCCTCTGAGAGACATGTAAAATAAGACGAAAAAAGGAACAACGAGAGCATAAGAAAGTCACAGAATACAACACTGACGGACAACAAAACATCCCAAAATGGCATGGAGAGGAAAATGGCAGGCCACATCAGTGACAATCAACAAAGAAAAACCACATGTGTGAAAATGTACATAAAAAAAAACAGCAGAGAAAAAAGAATAAGGTGAATTTAAAAGAACATAATAAGCAAGAGATGAGAAAAAAACTAATATGGACAAAATATAAGAAAAAAAGCCAAAAAATTACGAATGAAAAAAAAAAAACCAAAAACACACCGGAACAAATAAAACCACAATATAGTAACCGTGAGATCAGAAAAAAAATTACTATTAAAACTAAGAAACAAAAAAAAAAAGAATAAAAAACCCCAAAAACAAAAGGGACTCAGAGAGACATCTATCACATGTCCCCTAGAGGGAGGCAAAAGATGCCTACAGCACCCGG